TCTCAAATGAAAAAACAGACAGAGGCACACACACGACAATGCAAAGGCAAAAGGACTTTCATTCCGGTATACTGGGTCACCTCTCTCACCCACAGAGTGGTCTCTTGATAGTGACCCAAATTCCAATTAAATAGGGTTTAATTACATAAACAGCACATGCCTTATTGTTTCAGAAAAATCCTAGTTACCAAAGAAAGGTGTTTTGGCAAGTGTCTAGGGTAACAGTGGTCAGGCAATAGTTAAACAATAATTTCCAGTAATATAAATAATAATGAATATATAATATATGATATTACTATTAAAAATGTCACTGTCACTATTCTCCCATTGTTCATCAATTTGCTCGAGCAGGCCCAGTAGCATTTGTGAGACTTGTTCCTATGTTTGGCATATCGAATACGTCATGGGTAGCTGGCCAGGCTTTGCTGTGTGGGCAAGATACACTTGGTAACTTGCCGGGCTCTTCGAGAAGGGCTGAGAAATCAAATTCGGGTCAGCCATGTTGGCTGCATGCAAGAAAAATACCCTACCCACTGTGCTATTGCTCCAGCCCACTATTAATAAATAATATTAATAATTAATAAATATTTATTTGTTAATAAATAATAAATCATAGAGAGAAATATAAATATATGCCTCTCAGAGAGCCTGAAAAGCTACAAAGAGTATCCTGCCCACCCAGGCAGAGCCTGGCAAGGTCCCCATGGCATATTGATATGCCAAAAACAGTAACGACAATAGGTCTCGTGCCCTGGACCCTATAAGAGCCTCCAGTCGTTGGAAAAGACGAGTAAGAAGAAGCTGCTAAAATCTCAGGGCTTGGAGGAATAGAGGTGTTACTGGTGCCTTCTCAAGTAAATTGATGAACAATGGGATGACAGTGATACAGTGATAAATAATGTAGGAGTACTGTTATTTGTTCAGCCATTGGATAAGCTGATTGAATTGGGCATGAACTCCACATTGCGGGGGGGCCCCGCCAGACCACTCTCCGGCCAGTGGAGGCGGCCCTAGGCTCCGTAGGTGCAGGGAGGGACTGACCGAATGAACACAAGACACAAGAGACAAAATGCAGTTTAGTAAAAAGGCCCTCCCGCTGATCATCGATTTGCTCGAGTGGGCCCAGTAACATCTCCATTGGAGACTTTGTTGTTACTGTTTCTGGCATATCGAATACTCTCCATAGCTTGCCGGGCTCGCCGAGAGGGGCGGAGGAATCGAACTCGAGTCGGTCATGTTGGCTGTGTGCAAGGCAAACGCCCTACCTGCTGTGCTATCGCAGAGAAAAAGGAACAGGACAGAGCAAACAGGACAGCAGACAGGATAGGACAGGACAGGACTTTATTCAGGGCAGCAGGGGTATTATATACCTTGAGAAGCAGGAAACTATGCTTACATCACAGAAGGCAATTACATCACTAGGTCATATCATATATGGTTAGGAGAGTTACAAAGTCTACATGTTTGATATGCTTGGTTAGTCAGTGTCAGTTACTTCTTATTCTTGGGCTAGCTGTGACAAATGTTTTCTTTTAGATAACCATACATAGCTCAGGATATGCATAGGCTGTGCTCAGAGCAGACGCAGTACCAGATTTGCACAAGTCAGGAACCACTTGTTCAGGGTCACATAGGCCAAGATAACCATACATAGCACAGGCACGTAGGCCCTTGGTCAATTAAAGGGCCAGCTTCCCACACCACATTACTTTTTTTCAATTTTATCACGGTGAGATAAAGTTACAAAGCTTTCATGTTTGAGATTCAGCCATACAATGATGGAACACCCATCCCTCCACCAGTGCTCATTTTCTACCACCCACATCCCAGTTCTCACCCTGCATCAATGGCAGACAATTTTCCCCATACTGTCTCTCTAATTATGTGAATTATGTTCTGCTCGAAATTTTCAACCACCATTCAGGCCTACCTGTTAGGGGCAGATGCTAGGTCATTTATTTTTGATTGCTCATTTTAAATATCATGAGAGCTCACACGGCCGCAATTGCAAATGTCAATTTCTAGAGTGCTAATGATTGGATTCCAGAGACATCTCATATGGCACTAATCCATTTTGGTATTCAACTGGAAGTCTCTGGGCGAGGGCTGTTAGTGCGCTAAGATGGTACCAGAGGCAAATTGTGGGTGTGACAGCCAGTCTTCTGGGTGGGCAGGGGCCAGGGAGGGACAGCTCAGGTCCTTGCTGCCATGTGGCCTGGAGATTCAGTCCTGAAACCAGCATAACTGGGATTTAATTGGGAAAGCTCTTGGTCACCGGGATTCCATCTGGAGTAGATGGGGAGAGCACACATGCTCCATCTAGGGTGCCCCGGTGAAACTGGCCCAGTAGTGGGCCCGGAGAGATCTCTCGCGCTGTGGTGTCTTCTGGGACTTGTTGCTCTCTCTGGGGCAGGGCTCTTGATGTGCTAAGATCCACATAACAAAATTTTCAGCAGATTATATCTTGGTGAGGTCATCCTGAGACGGCAGCGTCAGGCTGAGTGTATGGTGGCAATTTTGGATTGTTGAAGCAAGTGGCTGCTGGGAGCTCTGCTTGGGAGGACACAGGCCAACCTATCCCCTCCTTTTACCCAGTCTGTTCAGCTATGCATGGGTCCAAGCTTTTCTGCTGCTTTTGATCTCTTTCAAGATTTATTTACGGGCAGATGCTAGGTCATTTATTTTTGATTGCTCATTATAAATATCATGATAGCTCACATGGCCGCAATTTCAAATGTCAATTTCTAGAGTGCTAATGATTGGGTTGGAGAGATGCCTCGTATGGCTCCACCACCTGCACAGTGTTTGCTATTAACGTGCCGGGAGCAGGCTGCACCCGGGACCGGAGCATGCCTGGGCTCTCCGGGCTGAAATCCGCCACCACAGCCATGGTGCCAGCCAAGAGGGGCCCCGGAGATCAGAAGCATCACCATCCTCTGACTCAGTCTCCCCCGAGACACAGATCCTTCCCGAAGCCCCTCTGGGTGAGAGTCTATCTGAGAGATGCCCCTGGCACTGTCTTTCCCACGGGCGGGTAGCAGTGTCACTCACAGGGTCCTCATGGGGTCCTAGAAACGAGCCCAACGAAGGAGGCAAAGCAGAGCAGCAACAGGATTCGGGTATGAGAGTCGAAAGGAAAGGGTGGGAGAAGCAGACACCGGCCGGCCACATCAACACTGTTCTGACCAGCCCATGAAAGCTCTGGCCTCAGTGCCCTCAGCCGGCCACAACAGCTTAGGCCCAGCTTTTAGAACTGAGAACGATAAATTGGTTTGATAGATATATTGACTTCAATGTTGATTTTAATACTAATCTATTGATTTTAATATTAAAAAATTTTTATAATACAAGTTTTTTCCAGAATTTTATCAAGGGTTATGTGCCTTTTTTCTCCATTTATATAAATAAAATAATGAAAAGAACGTGATCTTCTTGCCTTTGGCGACTTAAGAAGGAGGAATCTGAAATTTTTATTATTTCCCGAAAGAACATTCCCAGGGGCCCTTTCCCTGTCCACACAGCAGGAAAGACCTCACTTTATATAGAAACAGTCACTTTTCGATGAGTGATTGTTGGAAATAGAGGGTTGGGTATAAAATAAGAAAACATCATCAGTGCTCCGGAAGGCTCTGAAGAGTGGGGGCAGGGCCGGCAGCCCCAGGAAGCTCCCTCCTCTTCTCTAACTGGGCCCCTCGACCCCCACACTCAGGAACGCCCAGCTGGGCCAGGGTCAAGTCAGCTGTGAGCACCAACACGGGTTCATGTCCCAACAGATCCAGGCACCCATAGGTCCCTCAAACCCTGCCAGGAGCGATCCTTGAGCAAGGCCATGTATGGTCCAAAAGGATGCCAAGAAAATCAGCTAGGAACTGGGGCATGTGGCCACTGCCTACTCATGAGCTTAATCCCCAGCTGCACCTGTCCTGCCGGGGGGAACCTGAGGCTGCATTCAGGCCACTTCTTCTCTCCTTTGTGCACTGTGACAGAGGAGCAGGGCAGCCGAAAGGACCCAAATCCAGGGAAAAGTGGGACCCCAGAGGAGACAGACCTCGAGCCACCTACTCTATCCCGAATTCCCAAGCGACCGAGGTTCTCGGGCTGTTGGATATTAACCAAAGTGTGTTAGGCTTCAGTGAATTCCTCCTTTACCTCCTCCCAGAGAAGCTTACAGTGCTCTGGTGAGGACCCCTAATGCCTTGAGTTGATCTCTCACCTTTCCCTGTAGTAGTTACTAAGTCAAAACCTTCTGGAGACTCTAGACTGGGAACTGAATTATTTGCATTTCTCCTTCCCATAGAGGCTTTTCAGATCTTACTACAGACCAGTGCTTTTTGCTTAAACACAGAGAAACTGTTAATGCTGTGCTGCTAGTATTTGGGAGTTGAAAATCTTAGAAAATCTTAGAAAATTTAAGATTCCATATTTTGGAACATCGGCACTACAGATATTTGGCCAAATGGCGAGGGGGATATGTTGGGCTTTGCAGATTACATGAATTTGTTTGCAATTGATGCTGGAACAAAAAGAACTCACTTTGCACACTGTCCACCCCAGTTTAGTCTCTGAATAATACCATCTTGGACTGAGAGGTCCCTGAGCACAGAGTCAGGTGGAAGTTGTGAGCACTGCTGGATGTTGCCCCAACATGACAAAACAAACAAACAAACAAACAAAAGAATTACACCAGTACTTTTTAATAAAAATCATTTTTATTAAAATGTCTACCACCACACAAAACTTATAAATCAAATATATAAAATAACAAACAACTTTTATAGTGCTATAAATCACCAGAAAGATGGTGCAGCCCGCAAGGCTCCCCCTGAGCACAACTCTGAGTGCTGGAATCCGGGTCCCCACACCAGGTCTTATATTTGGGTGTCCTGGTAAAGTCAAAGGAGAGGGAAGCGTCCAGCCATGTCTGGGTTACAGGAAAAACGTCCCGCAGGCAGCAGAGCGCAGACACTTGGGGCCAGGCTGGTTCTGGCGCTGCTGGGCTGTCAGAGACGGGGCCCCCGTGGCAGCTGAAGGCTGTGCAGGACCCGCTGGCTTTTCTGGCCTTTCCTGCCCTTCCTCTTGGCGGCCGTGGCACACGTTTCTGGGGCAGCTTTCGGGGGTGCAGGCTGCTCCCGGGGCGCCCCATGCCCGTGTCTGGAGCCGTGGATGATCACGGCGTTGGCGGGCAGGGTGGCGTCCGTCTTCCTGAGGTTGGGCGGCGGCTTGGGACGGCTCTGCTCCTGGAGCCGCCTCCAGCAGTCCAGGCTGATGCCAGGAGAGTCCTCGCAAAGCTCGGGGTGCCCAAACACCGAGGGCTCGAGTTCGCAGGCAGGGTGGCCCAGCAGGTCCCCGGGGATCGCTGAAGACACGCAGCCTGGCCCCTCCGGCCCGGCCCAGTGCCCATGGCCACCGCCTCTGTCCCACTCGGCCTTCTGCGTGTAGAACAGGACATAGGCCTGCTGGCTGAGGACGTGGGAAACGTCGCAGGCACTGACCTTGGCGTCGTCCATCTGGTACCACTGGCAATCTGCCGCTCTGACGTAGCACAGGTAGTGGCCACCGTGAGAGGTCCAGCCGGTGTGCACCAGGACGGCGTAGAGCAGGTAGATGAGATGCCCCTCGTGGGGCTCCGACGTGCAGCCTCCCATGTCCAGGCACTCGGGGAAGCTCACGTGGCCAGCCAGCTTGGCACCGCCGTCCTGGCAGAACCTCTTCAGCACCAGCATCAGGACCCGCGAGGCCGCGTGCAGGGTCAGCGTCTTGGTGGCGGGCATCTTCTGGCCGCAGCTGCCGCACAGGTAGGCGTCAGGCCCCTCCAGTCGCTCGGGTTTCACCAAGTCTCGCAGGGCTTGGGCCACGCTCGGAGCCGCTCCCACGTCCAGCGCCACGTCCAGGTAAGGCTCAAAGGTGTCGGAGATGGCCAGGCAGCGCAGACACTGCACCTGGGACCGCCAGCGGCCTCCAAAGATGCCCGCGATGTCGGCTGGCCTCTTCCCGCCGCCCTGTGGGCAGCCTTGCTGCATGGCATCCAGCGTGGACATGAGGAATTCGTGCGCGTCTTCCTGTCGCTGCCTGTGGAATCCGGCCAGCAGCGATGGGCACGGTGTGAGGACCTCCCCGGGGCTCCGCAGGGCCCGGCTGATGTGCTTCCGCACCCCGCATGCCCTGCAGCAGGGCCGCTGGCCGTGGGTGCCACGATGAAGTCCGGACGCTGCCCAGCTGGCCAGGGCCGGAGTGTAGGTCAGACACTGCAGGGCAGCGTTCACGTAGCAGCTGTTCCCGACGTTCCGCAGCCCGGCTCCCACCGCACGTCCTGTCTTCCTCTCGGGAGGGAGAGCCTTGGCGCCAGCCCGCCCCTGGCCCTGCAGAGCCAGACCCACCTGGGAAGTCGTGGGCCACAACTGTGGGGCGGCCTCAGTCAGGAGTGCGTCGCTGCAGACCCCAGCGTTCTTCTTGCTGCTCCAGGATGCAGCCTGTGCCATCTCTTGGCTTGAGTGGAAGCTGCCCAGTGCAGAGAAGGGGCCTCCGTATCTCCAGAACTCTGCGATGAAGACTGCGTCAGAACGACGACTTCCCTTGGCAGAGCGCTGGAAAGAAGCTCAGCCCCCTGGCAGGCGAGTCCCTAAATACGTAGATGCAGCCCCGCCCAGCACAGGCTCTGCCCACCAATCTGCAACTTGTCCAATCCGGTTGAGGGGAGAGTAGGGTGTGTGACCACGCCCTGTGATCACATGACCCCTAAGAGGCTGGCCACAAAAGGGTGTGGCAAGCACAGGGCTTGGCCAGTTACGGAGGCCCTAAGGCCACTGGACCCCTGGGGTGCTGTGTCTCCAGAGGCCCTTCAGACTGGCATGGCACCTCCTCAGCCTACACTAGCATGCGACTGGGATGAATGGAGACATTACTGGCACCTGCTCGAGCAAATGCATGAGTAACAGGATGTGTGTTGATCAAGTGATCAAGTGGTATCTTGGTTCGGTCATCCTGAGACGTTTGAGTCAGGCTGAGGGGATGGTGGCGATTTTGGATTGTGGAAGCAGGTGGCTGCCAGGGGCTCTGCTTGGGAGGACACAGGCCAACTCTCCAATTTACCCAGTCTGTTCACCCATGCATGGGTCCAAGCTTTTCTGCGGTTTTTGATCTCTTTCAAGATTTATTTAGGGGTCCCTGAAGCAAGGCCGGAGTAGCGCTTACAGGGTGCTGTGGAGTTAGTTCCAGGGATGACAGCCAGTGCTTCCGTGTGTATCAGGAAGTCAGCGGGGGTAGCCCATCTCAACTCCATGAATGCCAGGAGATTTCAGTCACAAAACCCACATATCAGAATTTTCAGCAGATCTTACCTTGGTGAGGTCCGTCCTGAGACGGGGGAGTCAGGACAGGAGTATGGCAGCGAATTTGGATTGTGGAAACAAGCAGCTGTTGGTAACTTCCTGTTGCTATTCTGAAATCTGGACCCTTACTGAGGCAGTCAATGGGGTTACCTGGCTGAAGGGGGAATGCCAGTGACCACTGGCCACCAGGATTTTCAGATCTCTGAGTTCCTATTGGAATCAGAAGATGGGCGGGTGAGCTGATGTCTCAGTCTGATAGTCACACAACACACAAATCGCAGCTGGATGTTTTAAACACAGAAACCTTTAATCCTCAATGAAAACGCACTAAACCAATAGGAAAGGAAATTACACACAAGCCACATTCCCATCCTCTGCCACGTCGCTGGGCGGTGTGGTAGGGGACCCCCATGGCAGTAGAGTTTGCACCCCCCATTTCTCTAAATAAAAAGGACCCCTGGATTCTGACCCTTCAGATTTCAAGTTCATTCTGGTTGCTCCAGATCACGTGTAACCTGGGTGCTATCACTGAGTCACACAGTTCATGCTCCCAGAGAGGCGCCTCTATTCCTTTCTTCTCTTCTTGCCCTCATGCTCACATTCCTTGGGGCGGCTGCTATCTGAAGGTCTTTTAGAGGCACTGTGCTAATTGGCTTCTTCCAGAAACTTGTCCAAGCCAAAAGGACCTTTTTCAAACTGAACTGCTCCCTCTCGGCCTCGCTGCTTACTCTCTGGACAAGAAGACTCCTTCTCGGAACAGATCTGTTGGTTCAGAGGACCTTGGGAGACACAGGGACCCAATCTGGCTGGGCATATGGGGCAAACGCCTCCCAGCTACAGTCTGGCTGTGCTACGAGGGGCTTGGTCCTGATCTAGGTGGGGTTTTTCCTGGAGATTTTTTTCCTTTTGGGTCACACCTGGCGATGCACAGGGGTTACTCCTGGCTCTGCACACAGGAGTTACTCCTGGTGGTGCTCAGGGGGACCATATGGGATGCTGGGAATCAAACCATGTGTCGGCCGCATGCAAGGCAAACACTCTACCCGCTGTGCTATCTCTCCAGCCCCAAGGACTTTTGCACAATAAAGTGAAGCTGGGTGTCTTGCAGGAAGGTTTAGGATACGCAGAGTGGTCAGCTGAGATGGAACTTCCCCCAGAAGCCTGCCAGGAGAAGCTGAGGCCCGTCCTTGAGCCCCTGAAGTGGGCAGAGAAACAGCTCTGCAATTCCCATCAGGAGTCTCAACCCTCTCAGCTCTGAGGGTTCAGCAGCTCAGACCCACACGGTAGCCCCTTGGCTGCAGCCCAGAGGGAACTGACATCAGCGGGTCCCCTGTTTCCCAGACTCCCCTGCCCTGACAGCCCCACCCAATCTGCTGCCAGAAGACTCCAAAGGCCTCAGTCTCTTTCCAGGGAGAAACATCTGGCTTCCCTGCTTTGTTCTTTTTAGTCAGGTGACCCCAGGGTCCACTTCACTCTCTCTAGGTGATTTCATGAAGCAGATCGAGGGAATCGAAGGAAGAGACCAGGGCCTCAGCAAGGATTGGGAAACTCATGGCCTGGCCCTGCACTGGACAGAGGGAGAGAGGGAGAGAGAGAGAGACAGAGAGAGTGAGAGAGGAATGATTCCTTGCAGAGCCAGGACTAACCTCTGAGATAGATCTTGGCAACCCCTGCCCTTGCAAACAGTGAGGCCGCAGCTTCCCCTTACACAACTCCTGCTACTTTCCCAGCAACAGGCTACAACCATGCCCACCTGGGTTTCTCCTACCTCGCCCGCCCACGTGGGAAGCTGGGCCCGGAGCCCCTGACCACAGAACCCTAGTGCTCGGGACTCCTGGGCCCCAGCAGAGACAGGCCTGGAGCAGAGCAGCTGCCGCTGGTCCCTCAGGACTAGCCGCAGCTCATGAGGCTTCATGTGGCAGCTAAACCCGCACCTCACGGGTGCCCCACGCCCAAGGCCGCCTGCCCGGAGCTGACAGCAGCAGCTTATCTCAACTGGCTAAATCTGAAGCCACCTCACCTTCCTACAGAAAGCAAAAAAAGAAAAAAGGAAAAAAAGAAAGGGGGAGTTGCAGAGGAGTCTGGGATTGTTCAGGACTGCCTTGAAGACTGAGATTAACAGGCCATGTGCATGCAAGATTCTCCCAGGACACTCAGCAAGGGTGTCTATTTTCATGCCCTGGAGTCACAGACAGGGTGTGGACACCAAGCTGGCCCCGCCTTAGCCCCACCAGGTGACCCAGTCAGGTCCTGCCACACCCTGTCTGGCACCCACCCTCCAGGATTGCATAAAAGCTCTTCCCCATCAGTAACTAGAAGAGCATCCCTGGAGCCTGTCCAGCTTAGTGCAGCCCACTGAGGCAGGGAGACTTCCTGGCTCAGCATGATGGATTCAAGCCTGTCGAGAGAACGGGAGCTATTCAAAAAACGTGCTCTTTCTACTTCTGGTGTTGAAAACAGATCAGGAACTGCCAGCTCATCATCATCATCATCACCAAAGAAGAAGAAAGCAAAACTAGACCATGGAGGTTCATCCGGCGCTAAACAAAATTCTGATCATAGTAACAAATCATTGAACTTGAAAGCTTTTTCGGGAAGCTCTGGATATAAGTTTGGTCTTCTTGCGAAGATCGTGATTCACATGAAAACACGGCATCAGAGAGGAGACACACACCCTCTCACTTTGGAAGAAATTCTGGATGAAATACAGCATTTAGATATCGGACTCACACAGAGGCAGTGGCTTTCGAGTGAGGCTTTAGTCAAGAATCCCAAAATTGAAGCCATCAACGGGAAGTATGCCTTCAAGCCCAAGCACAGCCTGAAAGGTAAGAAGGGCCTGCTCCGGCTCCTACAGCAGCATGAGCAGCGAGGCCTGGGAGGGATTCTTCTGGAAGACATAGAGGAAGGACTGCCCAAGGCCCAGAAGGCCCTCAAGGCCTTAGGGGACCAGATACTATTTGTCAACCGACCTGATAAGAAGAAAATTGTTTTCTTCAACGATAAGAGCTGCGAATTGTCTATCGATGAGGAGTTTCAGAAACTTTGGAGGAGTGTCCCTGTGGATTCCACGGATGAGGAGAACATTGCAAAGTACCTGAGGCATTGGGGTGTTTCCTCCATGCAGGGTTCCGGACCCAAGAAAGTGGCCCCTGTCCAGAGAAGGGCCCACTGTGCTTAAGAAGCGGCGCTGGAAGTTGCAGAACGAGCACTTGGCGGGAGTGCTGAAGGAGTGCCCGGGCATGGTGGCTGGGAAGTAGTGCCAGCGCTGGCCGAGCCGAGTCACCAGAGAATCATGAGCAGTGTCGGGGCGTGACCTGGACAGACCGTGTTCCTGCTCTCCTGCTAGGACTGAGGAGAGGAGCAGCTCGTTGTCGATACCTGGCCGAAGCCCGTGGGAGGGACTGGGGCTCGGGAAACTGGTCCTTCCTGCTGAGCTTCGGGGACTTCCTGGGGGAAGCTGCTGAGCTGGCCACACAGCCCTGGGGGCGGGACATGGGGAGGGGATGGGAATTGTGTACAGCCAATCCCTCTCCGTGGTTTTAGTATGTTTTCAATTAGGAATAAAGGTTTCTCTGTTCAAACCACCCTGCTGGGCTTTGTGTGCGGGTGACCATGAGACTGAGATGTCAGCTCACCCACCCATCTTCTGATCCCAAGGGAAACTCAGAGACCTGAAAATCCTGGTTGCCCGTTGGTCCAGTGACCCACTGCACAGTAAGCTTGAACATGAGATTGTATAGTTTTCTCATTAAAGTTTCAAAAGCAGAGGGGTGGAGTGATAGCACAGTGGGGCTGGCATTTTTTTGCCTTGCATGCATCAGACCCGGGTTAGATCCCCAGCATCCCATAGGGTCCCCTGAGATGTGCCAGGAGTAATTCCAGAGCACAGAGCCAGGAGAACCCCTGAGCATCACCGGGCGTGACCCAAAAAAGCAAAAATAAATAAAAATTAAAATAAAAAATAATTTTAAAACAAGTTCAAAACAGAAATGAAACGATGGCCTCTTTGGAGAGAATGGGGCTGCCACAAGCATGGACCATCCTGAGGGTCACTGGAAACATCTTAGCCTCTAGCTGTCTTGGCTCATGACCTGGAAACACCTGTGCCCATTGCCCCTGTGCCCACAGAGGGACCTGACACCACTTTT